AGCGACAGAGTCCTGTGGCACCTTATAGACTAACAGAAGTATTGGAGCATAAGCTTTCATGGGTGAATACCCACTTCGTCAGACGCATTCACTCACAAAAGCTTATGCTCCAATACTTCTGTTAGTCTATAAGGTGCCACAGGACTCTGTCGCTTTTTAATGTCACTAAGACATTTTTATAGTCACCTGGAGTTCCATTTGCTGCAAATCTAAATCAATAATAAAGGGAGGAACAGTAGATTCCATGGTGTTGTCTCCAGTTCTTCTGTATATATTCCACTAGGAAATATCCACCAGATCTAAAATATTATCCCTACCATACATTAGTTTTAGCTTCTAAAAGTCAGAGGTAGAGTAGCAGAAACAGATTTCTGCTACTTTAACTAACAGTTCTACAAAAATTATGTTAGATAATGGCAATACATGTAAACCAGCCAAAATTTCTTCCTTCCCAGTCTTGTTTCCTTTCATTTTATAAAACCAACAAGTGATTAAGTTTTCCCAACATCATTATGTAAAACTCTTAAGGGACATAAAAGCAAAGATTAGCTTGTATTTGATGTAGTGGAGCAGGGGGAACCAGAGGAGGGAACCAAAGAAAGGGGTGATGTGGTCAAAGAGATGAGCCAGAAACATGATCTTTACAGCATAGTTTTGAATGGACATAAGTAAAGCAAAATGCATTTGTCATGGTGAGACAAATGTCAAGATGTAAGATCGTTTGTCCAGATCCCCACCGTTTAGCTTTGGAGAGGAAAGGCCAGATCTTAAAGATGCTATGCAGAGAGAAGAGAAGCAGCAGGATTTAGGCACAGCTTTGATGTTAAGATCTAGAGAGAACCATGTTGAAGGTAACATCCAAGCTATGGGCTTAAGTGACAGAAAAAATGGTAGCGTTCCCCATAATGACTAAGAAAAGGGGAAGATGGAAGGACAAGGTGGGGGAAAATAGCTCTCTTTTAGCCACATTGAGAATAAGCTGATGGTTGGACATCCACAAGATGTCAGAAAGACAAGCTGTGATTTTAGTTTGGAAAGAAGGAGACAGGTCAGGAGTGGAGATGTAGATCTGTGAGCCATAAGCATACACGTGGTATTTATTGACATACAGAATGAGATATATAGGGTACGTTAGACACAGATAGCTAACATATTCTCTGCTTAAAGTCCTTACAACATATCTAGTATGAGTGTCCAATTAGTTTTTTTCAAGGATACTAAGAAGAAAGTTTCTTCAGAGTACAATAACAATGAGGGAAAGAGCAATTATTACAGAAATATTAGAAAAATATAGGAGTACAATTTGATATATTAAAAATATTAGATATTTCTATAAGTTCTATAGGATGTACAGGGGCTTTAAAACAAAACACTGAAAATTAAGGGATTGAGGAACTCACGAAGAACTAGAATAGGTGGTAAAGCATGTGTTAGAGTCAGAGGAAGTGGAACTAGAACATGATCAGATCAGAATTTAAAGATAATATCTTTATGGGAGAAATTTTAATGAACATGTGGAAATTAAATAAGCTTAGAGGGGGCTATTACAATTTTAAATGAGAATGATGGCTCTGCACACCAGCTGTTTATGGTTCAGTGAATGACACTGAAATTGATAATGGATAATTACATTCTTTATGTAAAGTACGGTATCTTCTCTCTCACTTCATAGACACCACTGATGAATTGAGGAATGTGTCTGTGGGAGAACTCCCAAAAGATATGGCCACTTCTTGTAATATACCAAAACAAAAGCTATTTTTAGCTTTTGCAGACTTATGGAGTCTGAATGAAAAGGCAAAGTTATAGTCTACTGGCAATCATGGATCCAGCAGACAAAAAAACCCCCACCCCCAAAATATATGTCAGGAGATTACATTATTGCACAATTACAATTAAAACAGCAGTTAAACCCTTTTCTGTTATTGTCCTTTTGTGTGTGAAAATACTGGCTCACTTTATACATAAATACAAAGGATATATTACATATGTACAACATAAATCCTCTCGTATTGCTGTCTACAGCATTTGCACCTATACTTTCATTTAAATTACATGAATGTTTTTACTATGTTGGCATATTTTAGTAGACTAAAATATTTTTTCAACAAAACACATTTTTAAATTTTCCTCTTGATTTAAGTGCTCTTATTCTACCCTTCTTACCTGAAGGTATGTTATTCTCCTCTGTACCAGCTCTGTCAGATCTTTGGCCTCTTTTTCTCGCCAATCACCTGCTCCATCTGTTTGACTGAGGTAGTACAGATCTGTCATTATCGACCTATAAAAGGCAAGCAACATTAGATAGCTACCTTAATAATACTAAATCAGAGGGTTAGGCAAAGCCACAAAGAGAAATTAAATAAGTCTTCTGATTACACTGATCTGCTTAAACATTTTTTGTGGACAGGATACGTAATTAAACTAAGAGGGGACAAGTACATATGCACTGTACAACACTAAATTAATTTGACTGTTGGCACCCCACAGCTGTTGCAAAAAAAGCAAACATGATTCTGGGATGTATTAACAGGTGTGTTGTGAGCAAGACACGAGAAGTCATTCTTCCGCTCTACTCTGCTCTGGTTAGGCCTCAGCTGGAGTATTGTGTCCAGTTCTGGGCACCGCATTTCAAGAAAGATATGGAGAAATTGGAAAGGGTCCAGAGAAGAGCAACAAGAATGATTAAAGGTCTTGAGAACATGACCTATGAAGGAAGGCTGAAAGAATTGGGTTTGTTTAGTTTGAAAAGAGAAGACTGAGAGGGGACATGATAGCAGTTTTCAGGTATCTAAAAGAGTGTCATAAGGAGGAGGGAGAAAACTTGTTCACCTTAGCCTCTAAGGATAGAACAAGAAGCAATGGGCTTAAACTGCAGCAAGGGAGGTCTAGGTTGGACATTAAGAAAAAGTTCCTAACTGTCAGGGTGGTAAAACACTGGCATAAATTGCCTAGGGAGGTTCTGGAATCTCCATCTCTGGAGATATTTAAGAGTAGGTTAGATAAATGTCTATCAGGGATGGTCTAGACAGTATTTGGTCCTGCCATGCGGGCAGGGGACTGGACTCGATGACCTCTCGAGGTTTCTTCCAGTCCTAGAATCTATGAATCTATGAATTTATGTGGTGTACCTCATCCTGTACCCTAAATGCCCCAACAGTTATGTGGGGGAAACCAGACAAACACCATGCTCTAAAATGAAAAGCTGAGTGCTGCAGTTATACTGATGTGACCCCTGCTGTAGATAGCACTATGACGGGCTTCTCCAGTAGATACAGGTACTGCCTCTTGTGAAGGTGGAGCATCTATGCTGACAGGAGAAGCCCTCCCATCAGCATAGGTTGTATCTTCACTGAAGTGCTGTCGCAGTGCAACTGCACTGGTAGAGTTGTGCTGCTGCAGCAATTAAGTGTAGTTCTACCCTTGGCCTCAGGCTTAAGGAGGCTTGATAGAAGTAGGTAATCTAGGAATAGCCCTGTGCCAGGAAAGATACAAGATTACTGAAAAGAATGTACCAATAGATGAGGTTCAAGAAAATATGCCATAATGGACCCATCTAAACCCCAGGTTCTGTTCTGACTGCTGGTTACCATGGGGACATGATTATGTAAATGTTAATAAGATGCTAATAAGAATAAAGGGAACTAAGAGAACAACCTCTGAGAAACAGGACCCCTCAAAATGTATGGTGTGTTGAAGTACTGATAAGGAAGAGGAGTTGGAACCCTCATGCATATGGATACGGTGCTAGGTGTGGTCAAAATTCACTGGTATGAATAAGAGCCCATTGGAAGACCCTAGCAGGTAAGAGCCTAGCAGGAATCATCCCTCTATTGATGACAACACATTGAGAGATCTACCAGACTCTGGAATGTCTTGGGGGATTTGGGGATTTGCTTGGGCTCTTTCAGGTTTTACCTATTTGTTTGAGATTGTAACTTTAATCCCCTGCTTAGAAACTTAACATACAGACAGATTCTTTACTTGTGACTGTATTTGTAGCCATGTCCTGGTTCTCCATGTGTTCCTAGAGCCTGCCAACCTAAGAAAATCAATAACGGTAATTTTCACCCTGATGATCTTAAAACTGTAGCAACAGAGGAGACGGACTAACAACACAGAAATATCAATCAATTTAAATAAAGGCTATGATCAAATAAACGGAAGAGGACACATGGTACTATTGATTGTCTATCCTATACAGAGATACTTAAAATTAGACCATTAATTTTAGAGCGGACAAAAAGGTAATGGACACATTTCCTGTGAGGAAAAAGTCATTCACAGATCTGTTATGGGGTGAAAAGTAAAATGGATGGGTAAGAAACTCTCTTTGGATTGAGGAAAGACAATGAAATAAAGAAACATCTGTTTCCAGTTAAGTACATTCTTCTTACGAGTAGCAGCAGATGAGAAATTAAAAGAGAATTTACCATATTCCCTCCGGAGATTCTCTGCAAAAGAAGAGTGGGATTTCAATTAGAGTTTGGGTGAACAGGTCTTATCTTATCTCACTGAAGGAACTCTGCCTACAGACGTCACCAATCTCAGCTGCTAGTTTTGCGATTTGTCCCTTCTCCTACACACTGAATCTGATTCCTCACCCAGATTCAGTAACAACTCTGAATCTTGTGTTCCATAGCTAAAGAAAGTAAATGCCTGTGAACACACAAAACTGGAGACCCAGCCCACACCCTACAGACTCCTGCTTACAAATGTCCTTCTCTTAACCACCCATCACCGTAATTATCTTATTGACAGTGCCTTGAGATGTCCGTCTGTTGAAGGACCCCTACTAATCCCCACAACCTACAAGTCATTTGAGCTCAACCTGATTAGCATTAAACTCAAAATTCAAAGTATACCTACCATTCTCTTTCTCAAGCTTCTCTGAAAAAACATGGAAAAAATGAATTCAAACTAATGCAAGTCTTTCAATATGCAATACAGTAGACAAATTTAAAGTAATGGACTGATTCACTGCCTTGTTCCAATTCCTTCATGACACTCACGGTATATTAACCCAGCAGCTGGGAGATGTGAATGACAGCTGGGTGGAGGTACATTCAACAGCTCTGCTCAAACTTGTACCCAACACAGGAGTGTGGTGGTAGTGGTCAGTGGCAAGGGTTTGGACCAAGCACCTCCCCAAGGAGTCAACTGGTGATGTACTTGGGTGTCTAACTGAAGTTGGCACCTCTATCTCTACACTGCTCTTTTTAGGGTGGCAAAAGAAATAACTGGATACATGAACCGGCTCCCTGGGTTGTATGGGACATCTCAATAAAAGCCTTTTTTTTGAAGGGCAGTAAGATGAATATATTAATGGCTCTCAGTTTGACACACAGCCTGCTTCTGAGTGACTTCACAAATCAATCCTGACTTTCTCATTTTCTCAGGGAGTTCGCAAATGTGAGAATCAAATCAGCCATGTTAAAAAATTCAAGTCATTTTAGCTCAATCTGATTAACACTGCACTGAAAAATTTAAGTAAACTTACGGTTCTGTAACCCAAGCTTGTGAACATACAAAACTGGGGTACCAGCCCACGCCCCACCAACTCCTCAACCACACATCACCGTAATTAACTTATTGACATGTGTTTCACAATAATGCAAGTCTTCCAATATTCACTATATTCTCCATATTTAAAGTCATGGACAGATTCCCTGCTTTGTGACACTCAGGCTATGCCTACAGACAAGCTGGGAGTTGTGAGTCCCAGATTGGGTAGATGTACCTGACACACCTGCTCATTGGGAGTGATGCTCTCTTCCCCTCTAGCTTTGGTTAGGCCAGCTAGAGACCGAAGAGCCATCTGCAGCCGTGGCTACCAGAGACCTGTCTGGTCTTTTAGCTCATGCATTTAGTTCCAGAGGTCCCATGTATGATCCAGACTGCTAAAGCCCCCTTCTGGGCCAGCGTTACAAGGGGTGGCCCGTAGCAGGATTTCAGGCAATTCAACTGGGAATGTCTCGGAAGCTCGGGCACTTACATCGCTGCCCAGGGTGAGTATGGAAGCCCAGCTTGCTGGGAGTGCCACTCTGTTGCCCGCTAGGGGGGCTAGGCCCAACAGAGATTGATGAGCCATCTACAGCCTTAGCTAAGTAGGGGAGACAGAGTGCCACTCCCAGCAAGCAGGGGTTATGTACACATGACTGCTCTGCTCGAGCTTGTGCCTATAGATACCAATGCGGTGGCAGCGAAAACAGGCGGTGGCTTGGGCTATCTGCCCAAGTAAGTACCCAGCGGTTCAGGTGGCACTGTTCTTGTAAACCTACCGTTCTCTTTCTCCAGCTTGTCTGAAAAATATAACAATAAATTTTATTTCAAAATTGCCTAAGTCTTTCCATGTGCAAAATGCACAGTAGCATCCCAATTTAAAGTAATGGACAAAATTCCTTTGAGACACCCAGGGTGGGTCTACACAGCAGCTGGGAGGTGTGATCCTCAGCTTGTGTGGATGACATGTTACAGCTCTGCTTGAGCTTGTCTCGAAGAGTAGCAGTGTCCCTGGCAGAGACTTGCTCTATCTGCCCAAGTACGTACCCAGGGGTTTGGGTGGCTTTGCACTTTGGTGACGAGCCCAAGCCCCTGCCGCTGCACTTGTGTCCACATTGCTATTCGAGAGACAAGGAGGGGGAGGTAA